ATATATATATATATATATATATATATATATATATATATATATATATATAAACACGTTTCTGAGCAGAAAACACTCTTGCAAATGCACTTCGACCTAGTTCCTCCACCAAAGAATGGCCACAGTTTAATACTACAGCGTAAAGAGCGCCTGTCTTGCTCTCATCGTTAACCTTTGCTTTTCTCCCTTGGTCAAATGTCATGATCAAGTCCCTCCCCTGGGGCTAGAGAGATAGCTCAGTGGTTAGCAGCATGTGCTGCTTCTGCAGGGGCACTGGGTTTGCTTGGCAGCACCGATACAGCTGCTCACAGCCTTATAACCCGAGTCCCGGGTATCTGACGCCTTCTTCTGACCTTCTCGGGTACCCAATGCACACAGTACACAGACATGCACGCAAACAACACACACATAACATGAAAACACATTATTTTCTAAAAGATTATCTTCTCACCCCTCCAGCCCTTCCACAGTTTCACCTTTATCTCTCTAACCTGTATTACCCCTGTCGGAACTGGCTAGCACTGCTTTATTCAAACTAATTCTGAGGCTTGGAGCCCCTCTAAGACAGGGTCCTCTCAAATGTTATTCTCTCTTTTTTGGTGTCCCAGCCTGGGCTTCTAACTGCTGTTTTCAATCTGGACTCTAAACCGAGACACAGAAAGCAGAGGTTGTTCCTATGAACCTTAGCTGATGCCCAAGGACAGAGACCAGCAAAGACGCAAGGAGCTAAATCTGATCTTTTCTCTGGTTTTGTAACATATAAGCTACAACTTGCAGGGCATAAAAGACTCATGTTTCTTGACACTGTATTAAAATAAAATTTGTGTGTATAAACTTTTATTGGAAAGTACCCACTTTCATTTGCTCACATATTACCTAAAATTGTCCCTGACCACAACAGAGTAGAAGCGTCTTGGCAGATACTGGGTGGCCAGCGCACCTCAGGTACTTGGGTCTTTACAGAAACGTCATCTCCAGTCCTAGTTTCCCTCGCCAACAGGTTCTGCTGGGCCCGTTCTCTAACCTGTTACATATAAACCTCTGTGATCTGCCTTATTCTGTATGTAAGAAAGTGCCCAACTTTCCTTCTGCAGTCATGCTCCTTAACCATAACTCATTTTCAGAAAGGGATCAGCCTTCCTCTCCTCTGCTGCTGCTGCTGCTGCTGCCATCTTGTGTTAGTACAGGACCTTTGGACCAAGAGAGCTTGAACAGGCTCCTTAAACTATCACATCTTGCATGGAAGCCTTAAATCTCCGCTCCGTTAAAAGTGCTAAATGAGGCTTGAAGTCAAGCTTAAAAAGAAGAAGAAGAAAGGACAGTTTCAAGGAAGGCTACACACTATCAAGAAGTTTGAGTTTTCTCTCCAGGTTGCTTATGCCTTACAATATCTGTAGGAAAGAAAAAGAAAAAGGAAAGCTACCAAAATATTGGGAGGTTGTTTCCATATGACTGTGTTAGGCCACTTTTTATTTTTTATTTTGGTTTCTGTACGTGGCTGTCTTCCGTGCACACTAGTCTGTTTACCGTATGCATGCATTGCTCACAGAGGCCAGAAGGTGTTGGACACCCTCTGGACTGGAGCTACAGATGCCCATGAGGCATCGTGAGAACACTGGGAATTGAACCTGGGTCCTGCACAGGTCTTTGACATCTTTCCAGCCCCACCATGTGTTTTCCAGAAGCTTTATCATTAGCCACTGGCAGTACTGTGTAGAAGAACATTGGAAACTGGTCTTAATGGCAGAGAGCTGTCACTAAGATCGTGCTTTTGAAGGGGCCATAGTCCTTAATTTTCTCTCCCTTTTGTTTCCCAGCCACTGTGATGGGGACGTGCTTCTCCACAACCTGCTCTACACTGCTTTCTGCCTCTCCACAGGGCTAAAGCAATGGAGCCTATAGACTAAGGACCGAAGCCTCTGAAACAGAGCCAAAACCTTTGCTGCTTTTAAGTTGATTTCTTCGGGTATTTTCTCACAGTCATAAAAAGCTGACTGGCGTATATTCTAATTTTCTAACATTTAAAAAAAATTATTTCAAGTTTAATTTGCACAGAACTTTCAGTAATGATAAGGGACCAGATTTGAAAATAAAGTATAAAAAAACAGCACCTCTGCCGGGAAAAGTAACCACCTTTTTTGTCTGTTATGTGGCTTAAATCAGCCCAGGCTGGAGAGGCCCAACAGAACTTACCAGGCGGTGTTTGGCATATGTAGCCTTGTTTACTGTCACAGGTGTCATCCATCCAGGTCCCCGCGTCTCTCGACTTGCCACCAATCACAACAACACAGTCTGCCTGTCCATTTGTGGATAAGGAAAATGAAAGCAGCAAGTATAAGTTAATGATTTACTAAATCAGTTCGCTCCCACTGTTCCCCACTCACAGGTGTCTGCGCTCACCCCTCCGTGCAGTTTGCACACCCCGTCATCACCTGCCAGGTGGCTCCTCACACCTGAACTTCCTCCTACCGCTATGCCAGGGCAGCCTGTTTTATTTTAACCTCAGTAAGCTTTCAGCCCTAATTTGTAATCAGTGTCAAATAATTTCTGCTAAGAAAATCACTTCATAGAAGATATCTACCTTGCATAGCGTGACTAGCTATCAAGCTGGCCAATCGTCATAAAAGCCATGTTGACTAGATTGTTTTTTCTACTCGGAGTTGCTCTGTGCGCTCCATCTGAAGACACAGACTGGCAGAGCAGCCAAGTTTCTCTCAACCCTGCTCTCTCTGAGCTTACAGCTACTCTTTCTAACATAAAACCTCCCACTGTTCAGAGTCAGTTCCTCATTCCCAAACACAGCTGGAACCTTTCTCACAATGACTTTGCTCACCTAGCATGGCTGCCATCTCCAGCCTCTTTATTTTTCTGATCATTCCCGCAGCTGTTTCTTTTCCACGCCTTCCCCCACGGCGTGTCACGGTGCCCATACACCTGCGTCCACACAGCAAAGTCACCCTTTCCCTGGCATTGCCTTCCTCTCTCCTCTGGGACTGGACAGCAGACTCTGTCGTGATACTCTCATTTCTCTATCACCTCGTTTCTAATAGAAGACTTGTATTCTGCTTTAAGACTTCCATGAGGGAAAAGCAGACTCATCTGTTTTTCATGCTGTTCATAATCCCTAGGACGGTTGATACCAGCAATTGCTGGTTCAATGATACAAGAATGAAATAAAGTTTTTTGTTTTTTGACAACGGTAGAAAAGCAACAGTCTATACTGTAATTACTCTAGCATTTTTGCGGCACAGATCAAGTGCTGTGTAAACGCAGGGTAAGTAATGATGCAGCTGTTCATAGCATCTTTGGAGGTAATGACATCTTGAGATTAACATCCCAATTGCTGCAAAAGCCACCAGGGATAAGGGGCAAATGGTGTGATCATAGCCTTTTGTCCCAAGCACTAGTGAGGCTTAGAGTGAAGCTTGATTTCTACTGCTCACTGCCAATGAAAAATTCTTAACTAAATCTACAGCCCTTCCTCTAAGGTTGGTTCAGTCTGACACAGGTAAGATCTTCAAGAGCAGAACACAGGAAGGAGGATTCTGGTAGACGTTTCACAGAAAGTTAATCAACAGAATGACTCAGCACAGGGAGAGGGTTTGGAGAGGTGGTCTGAAAATTATACTCACATCTTCATAAGACAGGCTGCTTCTTCTTCCCCCAGGGTAGCCTTTCCCCCAGTTTGTATAATGAACTCCCTGGCCAGCTGTCCAAAGGAATGTGTGTTCTGAATTGATATCATTCAGCCCAGTCCAGGCATTGAAAGTGGAATCTCGCATTTGATACGTAATAAATGCTGAAAGAAAGTTATACAGACAATTTAAAACGTCAGAGAGTGGGGCTGTCTCTCACATGAACTCAGTGGCCGGCTCTTTGATCACCTCCCCCTTGGGAGGGAGCAGCCTTGCCAGGCCACAGAGGAAGATTATGCAGCCTGCCCTGATGAGACCTGATAGACTAGGGTCAGATGGAAGGGGCAGAGGGCCTCCCCTATCAGTGGACTAGGGAAAGGACATAGGGGGAGAAGAGGGAGGGTGGGTGGGACTGGGAGGAGATGGAGGAGGCCACAGCCGGGATGCAAAGTGAATAAATTGTGATAAATAAATAAAAATAATTTAAAATTTTTATTAAATTAAAAGAGTGAACAGTCCAAGTACAAATAAGTATTTTAAATATCTTAATTTTAAAAATACTGAACATAAAACTCAAGCCTTTTGTTAGTATTCCCAAGCACAAAGCATGAACTAGATACAGTCTAATCTTAGTTGTCACATTAGCAACTGAGTCTTGGACTTCGATGTGTTTCTGGGTTGTATACAACCACTGCAGACAGTTGGGGAAAGCTGTATCCCACCCAAAGGCGCCAGAGAAGGGGTGGAATGAGTCTCAGTTCCATGCCAGTTCACCTCTCCATGTTGGAAACCTCAGCTATGGGCTGTGGCTGCCTAGCGGCCTAAGGAAGAAGCGTGCTCTTCCAATTCATTAAAACTCATCCTATAATGCTATTTTGTATTTTCATTTTTAAGGGTGTGTGTGTGTGTGTGTGTGTGTGTGTGTGTGTGTGTGTGTGTTGGCCACATGTGTGTTGGGGTGGCTGCAGAGCCCAGAAGATGTTGGATCTCTTGGAACTGCAGCATGGGTGGCACAGAACTGTATTGCCAGGTTTCGGAGGCAGGAGGAGGCCACAAGATTAGTGCCCTCTGGACTACAGGATGAATCCCAGGCCAGCCTGGGCAACTTAACATGATCCGATCTCAAAGTAAAAGGTAAAAAGGTGACTGAGGATACAGCACGGGTAAGGCCTGGTTTCTGTCCTCTGCAAGTCTCCCTCTCTACCCACCAACAATAAGCATACTGTAAATTTTCAGTGGTCCTAGTTCTATAAATAAAATAATCTGATAACAATAACTAATAGAGGAAGAGTTTCCAACCCAGAAAGGCTCTGGAAATCAAAGGCATTCATCAAAACGAGAAGTACCCTGCTCCCAGATTTTCCACATCATAGAACTCCCAAGCAAGGGTTAGCTGAGATCCCTCTACCTGGGGACCACTACCTACTGAGGATGTACAGACCCAGGCATCCTTCAGCTAACGGTCTCACATCACAGAATTAGAAGATCCAGCATATACAAAATACTATGGCTTTTTGTTCATCGGTAATGCTGTGGCATAGAGGGCAGGAGCAAACATCCAGAAACAGTGAAAGATTTTAGTGTTCATATGCCCTGTACCTGCCATTGGGCCTGCCCCATGCTTCCTCCCTAGGCAGCTGCCTCTAAATTCCACCATCCACACTTGAACCGTGGACTGCTAGACAGACAGCGTCTCTGCTTACTGAAACAGCAATTTATGTCCCATGAATGTGGACAAGAAACGGAATGACTCATTTGGGGACTCTGATAAAAAGTACAAAGCAGGAACAAAGCAGGGAGTGAGATGGCGCAATCGTTGAGAAGGCTTGCCACATTTTCAGAGGCCCAAGTTCAATTCCTAGTGGGGAAGTTCGTGACTACCTGTTAACTCCAGCCTCAAACACTTTCTTCTGTCCTCCACAGGTGGCCACATGCTTTCACACACACACACCAGTAAGAATAAATTTTTAATGCAAAATAAAGTCAGAACATAACCACCTGTTGATGAGCGAGCACACGGTAGAGCAGCTGTTCCTAAAGCCTTAACCCATTTTCAAACACGAGAGCCTTGTTCCTATTTGCATTTTTCTCAATTAACTAAAAATAAAAATACCCCCAAGTGTTATTCTTCCTATATTCTTGAGTGAGCTAAGAGTGCAGCTAGATCTTCATTTGGGTTTTGTTTCCTGAATCAGACTGTAACTGTTGCCTTACGCTGAACCTGAAATGTGATGTGGAACAGCTCTCTGCGGCAGCATACAGCACTGACTTCTCCCACTGCCAACAGCCACATTAAGAGTTCAACAACGTGTGTCTGTTTTGCCAGGAATAATGTTATTTTATCTGAAAATTGTTTCCTTCTGCACATCTCACGGCTCAGGTTCTAATTCTGCTATGCCAGGAATCAGCGCTTTGTGGTAAAGAGAGGAAATCCATTACTGTGTTTCTCTGCTGGGTAGATGAGGCAGAAATGCGGTAAGCCAGCTGGAGAAATGCGAATGTTATGTTCTGGTATCATGTGCTGCGGTTTGACCCTTTGCTGTGGGTGTCGGAACAGCTGGCGAACTTGTTAACGATTCTTGTGGTTGGTCTCATGTATAATGTTGTCTCCAGGAGTGCACATTGTACATTAATAGAGAAGAATTTGGGGAGCAACATGCCGGTACCTAGTACCTTCTTTTCAGTACTTTTTTAGATACATAATTTTGGATAATTGCTTTGAAAATTAAAGTTGCTCCAGGGTTGGCAATATGAAGCAACAGGTAAAAGTGAGAACCCAAGTTTGGATCCCAGTTTTTTTTAAAAGCTGGATGTGATGATTTCCATGTCTGTAAGCCCAGCATGCTGGAGAACAGAGACAGGAGGATCACTGGGGCTGGCTGAAAGCCCATCCTAACTAGCCTAGGATGAGAGGCCCTGACTCAAAATAACAGGGCAGAGAGTGGCAGGGCAGCAGACACCTGGTGTCCTTCTCTGGTCTCCGCATGAGCACACGCAGCGATTGCGTGCTTGCACACACGGGCGTGTGCTCACAACTCAAGTCTATGTCCCCCGCCACACCTGTTCAACCAAGAGATGGTAAAGGGATATCCAAAGGTTTTCCACAACCTTCTCAGGAATTTACATGCACAGCAAACCTCTATGGGACTCTTTCTGTACGCAACATGCTGCCCAGGATACGTGGCTCCAGTGTCCACTTGAACACCCTCTAACTTAAGCACTCCAAATCCTTTCAAAACCTTGTACTGCTCATGAAACGCTCTATCTCATCAGTCCTGGCTACCGGAGGGGCTTCCTCATTTTAAACCCAAATGCATTTCCCTGCAAGTCATTCACTGTCCTCGTTCTTCCTCTTAGGACTATACAAAGGTGCATGTGGGAAATCAGCAGCTGCTCATTTTATTCTCAGAACTACTCCTCCTTGGCTCTTTGCATAACAGATTTGTTGACATCAGAATAGGATTTGGGCTGGTACCCAGGGTTTGATTCCAAACTCCACTTCTGACCAGGCAAGGCTCTATGAACATCACTTCCTTGTCCACAAACTGGAATACACACACACACACACACACACACACACACCTATATATATACTGGGATAGATGGATAGATATCCAGCCCAGTATGGTATCTAACACTAATTAAGATCACCCTTAATAAATGAGAGGATTTCCCCTACTGGCTCTTACATTTCTAGAAAAATATAAAAGTCAGTTATAATAAGCAATACTCTATCACTATAAGGGCAAATTTATATATATTCATTACTGCCAGGAACATAACCACACACCTTGCTCTTTTGCATTCTGTATGGACACCAGGTTTCCTTTAAATCCCAAGCAAGTTTTCCGTGCCTCTTGCCAGTTCTTTTTTTCCTCTTCACCAAATCCAAAAATTCTTAAGCACTGAAATAAAGGACAGAAGCAGAAGTTTCGGCTAAAGATAATAAAGTTCACATCAATAAATCAAATTATTCATGAAAATTATAGCTAAATACAGATTTTCTCAGGACCAAATGAGGATTAACAACAACAAAAATTAAATCAGCTTAATGGCCCACAGATTTTCTTAGGAGAGTTTTAATTGCCTTTTGAGATAAAGGGCACAGATCCTTAGATAATATCTTGAGTATGTTCTTATTTGAAAATTGAAAACTGTGATGGGAATCTACAGTTATTCTTGTAAATTTCATCCTAAATTGATGATGAAGGCAGAAGTGAACTTTGATTGGTCAGACTGGAGTTTGTCACTGTTCACACTGAACAGCCCTGTTGGGATTTAGTGGAAAATCTCCCCATAAGCTTGTGCATCTACACTCTTGGAGCCCAGCTGATGGTGCCATACTTTAATCTTTGGGACACAGGATGCTGGAGGTGGGCCTCCAGGGTTGCAACTGGATCCTCTTCCAGTCCTTTGCTTCCTCATCCACTAGGACTGAGAAGCCTCTACCATTTGCTCCTACCTCCAAGTAGCCATTTGCTCTGCTATGAAAGACTCGGTTCTCTGGAATGGGGAGCCAGGATCTCTCTTGTTTCAATTGGATTTTTTTTAACATGAGCAATAAAAGCAAGTAACACAAATGCCAAGACTGAGATTAATTTTTTTCAGCTACCTTGTTGTTGTATAAATGCCAACCTTCCTTGCAGCCACCTGGGGTTGGGGGTGTGGTAGGCATGGCGGTGGCATTGATGCTGCTATTATGTCGCTGGCAGATGAAGTTATTTGGATAACCACAATTGATGTCATTCCAGAACCCTGCAAAAGAGAACAGCTAAGGTAGATCTACACGCTCTTAATTAAAAACATACCTTCAAAGACACAGTATTTGAGGAGGGGTCTCCAAACTTATTTAGAATAATTTTTCCTTATTTTCACACATAACTGGAAGAACCTTTGCAGTATTTCTCCCACTGTTTCACTTAGCTCATAAGAGTTCAGCTTTGCAGAAATATTTCTATATGCCAAATAAGGTCTTGGTGTTACAGATATATTATTAAATTATTACTCACCAATAGCCAATCATATATTACTTAAGTATGTATTTAGATTTAGATGCTGCTTCATTTAACTATCTTAACAAAATACAATTTACATCAACATTCCTATTTCATGGAATGAAAAAGAGCCAGAGAAAGGGAAAAGTGGTTATGAGCATATTCTCGGTATTTTCCTCACTTAAGAATATTAAAAATGTCTCACAATTTGAAAGAAATAGGATAACGTGTCATTTGTCAGCTTCCTGATGAATATCCTGATAAATTTATCTTTGCAAACTGAACCACTACACCAATAAAATTAGGAGTCTCTGCTCTTTTCCTATGTAAATGTGCTGCCTGCTACTTTTAGACTAAAACTGCAAGGAATGGCACACATCATACCCCAAAGCCAGTTCAATAAGATCAGTGTATGAGCTACCTGAATTTGTGTACATCGTTACACAGTTTTCATCATCATTTGCGAAGTTGGGTTCCCCTGTGGCCCAAGCCACAAAATCTACTTTGCTTCCATCCATCCAACTGGAAAAGAAAATTGAAGCATTTTCAGCAGCCTAGCCATAGGAATGACTGGCTACAACTCAGAGGTGGGAAAAGCCAAATACATCAAGATGAAGGGGGCAAGGGATACTTCACAAATGGCGGAGTCGGGGGAGGGACCTCGAGAAAGTAGCAGGAACTCCCAAACGCCTGGTGCTTGGTATCCCATGTATTCCTCCTTAGTGGCCTAAAGATACCTTTAGTGACCTGCTACCTTCAGGTCAAGTTCACAGACAACCAAAGTTCTAATCTTATAAAATACCATCTGTCTTTATTTGGGGATCTCATAGTCTGGCTCTAAGAATCGACTAAGAAGATGCATTTGAGTGATATGAATACTGAATGAGGGGCCACCCACTTTGCTCCCTCAGCACAATCTCCTAATAGCCCTGAAGAGGGAGACATGTATAGCCTGATTAGTCTGGAATCCAGAAGCAAATTTCCTTCACAGTGCTCTTCAATCATGATTTCCACACAATTTAACCACCTATAAAAGAGGCAGTAAATACAGAATTTTCTGTTAGCTCCATTCTAAGTCTTCTGCTTACTCCATTTTTTTCATAAAGCAGATGAGCCAATGACTACTGTCATAAGTTATAGAAATTCAGGGGCTCTGAGAGATGAAAAGAAATCATAAAAATCAGCCCTCTTGTTTTAGAGGTGATCAATCGTGTGTTTGTCCGTAGGAATACCCAATGTCTCTATTCCCTAGAAATAACAAACTTGACTTTAACTCTCCCTTGCTCAAAATTAGCCATCAGTGTCCCATGGAATGAATGTCACTAAAACAGCTGTATGGGGACAGATAGACAGATCTGCTCTTGAAAGTCAGGAGAACATATTAATGAACATATAAGGAAACCTCCAAGGTACAAGACTTTCCCTCCCCAGCACAGCCGTCCCTAGCTTGGTATCTAAAGAAGGAGAAAGCCTGCTCTTCGGAAAGGAGAGTTTCGCTGTGATCTTTAATACACTGCTGTGAGGCAGCACATGGAAAGGGTATGTTTGACCACATGTACCAACACCGGCCCAACAAGGTCGGAACTTTTAAAATAGATTCAGCATGCATCTATTTAATACATCTTTTTAGTCAATGATTTACTGATGGCTGAGTACCCTAAAACAAAGGAGTGACATTTCATGAGATTAAAACCAACTTTGAGCTTTTAAATAAATTAACAACGTTGAAAATCTTAAATAGTTTTCCTTTCACATTTTAGAATTCTTTTTTTCAGATTCAGATTACCATGGAACTCTTTAGTGCATTCTGCAAGAAAAGGCTCAAAACAACTTACAGGTGTTCCTCAGCTCTCTATCCTGAGCCTGGAGGCCTTAGCTTGATTTACTTACATGAACTTCTTATCCAAGCTGATCAGCAAGCCAATAAAATAAGGTGACGATCCACCATTCTTGTTCATCTAGAATGAAAAAGTTTACACGCATATTTATTGTCATCTACTAACTAACTTCTTAGGTAATGAATGCCTATGCATTACTAGAAAGCAGCCTATTTATGTTTTCCAAGGGGGAATTCACACACACTGTAGAATTATATTCATAAGGATAATAAAACATGTTCATAATGCAATAATCTGTGTTTATAAAACACCTAAACACCTTAAGTAATTCATTATAATTCCAAATATCTATAATAGTTGGGTGCTAAAAAGGCCCTTTAAAATAAAATAGGTAGTGGGATTTGTACATCAACAGAAATACATTTTCACACATAAGGACTTATATACAGCCTGTATTACAAATAGGAATTTATACAACATTCGGATGTATCTGGAGAGTTTCAAAGCAAGGCTTATCCACAAAGATGTTAACATTAAACTACATCTTCATATCTTTGTAGTCAAGTGAACTTTTCCTTTAAATATTGATAAATCCATTTTCTGCTCCTCTCCTTACTTTCTCTTTGGCAAATGGAAAGGCTACATAAAGATTTCTTTTAAGCAGAAAGGTACCCAGCCAAGTACTAAGAAAAATAACTGTACTTTCAGGAATAGCTGACAATTTGGCTACTACTGAGACATTTATATGAATAATAAAACTATACTGTATGTTCACCAATAATTTGATACAACAAAGACCGGCCTTTTAATTAATGATAATACTGTATGTTATCCAAGTGGTCTAAGATTGAGACATAACAATAACTTAAGATATGATCCTTGAAAAGTAAATTCACAAACTCAGAAGGATTGTCACAATGTTTAGACTTTAAAAAAATCGGGATTCTGTGATTCTATAGTGGATGTTCAAACAATAACGTATAGCCATCAGTGAGGTGCTGTTATCAGGACCTCAGGAACTTAAATCATTTAACTTCAATTTAGGAACCTCAAATTTAGTACATAATTTGAAAATATGTTCTGAGTTACTGACTGCAGAAATCATCTTTGTTTATAGCCTACTGTTCTACTCTTAAATCATATCCTTACATATTTCCATAGAAACTTCTTTTCACTTTCACTTTTAATAGTAGCAAGATCACCAAAATTCTTCTTGCAAAATGCTCGAGCGTTGTCCATGGTTTCCTTCTCTTTGCTAAAATAATACTGGTAGTCTTTGTAAATAACCCACCCATCTGCAGTAACTGGTGGATCTGAAGGAAAAGAAAGAAAGAAAGAAGGTCATAGGAAAAGATTTTTATTTTACTTAGATAAATTAAAGAATGTAGTAAGTAGGAACAAGAGTTCTGTCAAAGATAGGAACAACTCCAAGACCCCAGAATATGTAGAATGTCAGTCAGGGACAGACCAGATTGTTCCAAGCCAATGAAAGACTGGCCTTTCTTTTCCTAAGTAATATCCATGGGTTGCTAGTGGGTGAGAAGAATCCCTTGCATTATTTTCACTGGCAGGACAGCAGAGCTAAGAAGACATATACACATGTCCATGGTGTCCAAGAGCCAAGACATGGGGGCTATGAAAACTCAGATTCCAACCCCCCCCACACACACACACAAGAATTCTTACAGTTGGATTTGAGTTTTTCACAGTAGAATTAGAAAACCAGGCACTTAATTCATAAAGAAGGTGACTATGACTTCTCTCAAAACACGAAATTTTATTTTTCTATACTGCAAAAGGCTGTGAAGGCAGCTATGACCTAGTTCTAGGAATCTGTTTATGTCAGATTACAATGGAAAGGACTTTGTAAATGCAATTTAATTAACCATCTTGAGAAGGAAAGCCTATCTTGGATTTTCTGGGTAGCTTTAAATCTAATGCAAGTGTTCTCAGGTGAAGATGCAGAAAGACAGGTCCAGTATACAAAGAGGCAATATGACAACTGAACCACGATGCTACAAGACTGGTTTGAAGATGGAGCCAGGGCATTTAGGAAAGAAAATGGAAATCAAGCAAAGCCAAGTGGCCAGAATCCCTAGACTGGGGTAGTGTTAATATGGGTGAAAGTTTGTGTTTTGACTCAGTGGAATCAATTTTAGATTCCTGACTTCTAGAACTTGCAGAGAATAACTGTGGGCTGCTTTGAGCCATCATGTTGCAAGTCATTTGTCATGTGATAAAGAAAAACCTTGGACCCTCATGAAACCAAAAGAAATCACACTGGCAAGGCAAATGCTGTGTGTGGTCTAATCTCTGGAAACAAAACTCCAATTTCTCATGAGATGCTCAATGGTAGGAAGAACTCTTTTCCCACCATCTTCCTTTTCACCAAGAAAGGAAAGTAGTCAGAGAAAGCGATAATAAAGATATCAGAAAACACAGGGACACCTACTGTCTTGCGGGGCGGGTGTGGGCTCGGGTTGTAGTGGTTTTCCTGTAAAATAAAAATATATAAAGTAGTCAGGCGTCCACTAGGACCACTCCTTGTATTTTCCTGTATCAATAAAAACCTTGACAATTTTCCATGCTCGCCTCATTCCTTCCTCCAATTCACATCACACTGTGGTAGTAAAATGAAAGAAAAAAAGGAGCAATTAAGATTTATAAAATTGAATAGTGGCCAGTGTAAGTGGGGAGGCATTTTATAGGCCCAAATAGTGCCATATTAAGGAAAGAAGAGAACATTAATTTTAGAACCGTGAAGTCCAGCTTCAAATCTCAAGCACAGGATTAAACGGCTTGGTCTTCATTCCCAACCCCACTCCCAATGTCAGGAAGTAATTAACCATGTTTATAAATAGGTAAAAATGTAGATCTGGTGGACAGTCAGTGCTCACTATAGGTTTGCCTGGTAGACATTTTCGTAGTAGCTATGAAATAATGTACAATTCATTATCTAAGCTATCTGATGAGTCAGGTATGGATAAGACACAAATAGAGTCTCTTCGAAGAATCTTACTCTTATTAAAATTTTTGCTTACTAGAATTATTTTAAGTTATTTTTTCTTTTTTAAAGTTATTTTGAAACTTTTCTTTCAAAATAGTGTCTGGATTTTGTTGGAATCTGACAAGAGGGCACAGGTTAACATATAGTCTATCTGCTGGAGTAAAACAAAGCTACTAACAAGACCACAATGAGTCATCGGCAGCAGGAAACCCTTCTTCAATACGGCCCACTAGCTTGCTTTCTTGCAGAAACTCAAAAGGACGTTGATCCGGAATAGAGAAAGCACGTGTGCCAGCCAGCAGAGGGCAGTAGCAGGCCTCATAACCGCAGATTGGGGGCAGCGGCATGATTCCCTAGCAGCAGAGGGCAATGTGGTTCCATCCATCCGCGGCAATGGTGGCAATGGGCGTTCTGGTTCAAGGGCGAGTTTGTTTCCTTGTTTGTCCTAACCCAGACTCTCTGGCCTCAGTGTCTATCGTGTCTCTGTGTTAATTTCCAAGTCGTCATAAATGATAATACGATAAGTCCTATAACACCAGGACCTTCCCCACACTGTTGGTTCTTAGTGTGTGGGGGACACTGAAATATTCTGAGTTGGAGAGAGCTTGTACCTGTCTGTGTCAGAGAGAAAGTGGAAGGTCAGAAGGTGTAAGTCCGGAAACTGAAACTGCACTGCCTTCCTACTGCGCGGCTGGGCAGGTCTCCCACTCGCCCCTGCAGCTGCAGAAGATGGCTGGCGCCCCGGCGGCTGGTGGGAATGTTTCTGAGGACATGACTCTTGTCCAGGATTCTCGGGTGGCCTTTTGATCTTCTGTTCCTTTGGAACATTTATCTGTTCTCAACGCCTTCATTCTTATCCTGTGAATTAAGGTCTCCATACTTCCCTGATCCTGATATTTTTGTTTGTGCCACCAGAGAAAACCTATTGGGGTGTCAGAAGGCCAGCTCTGTAATCTAAGAGAGAGAGGGAGGTTGGGTGTGTACCTTTTTGTATCTGACAAATCCAGTTGTTGAGGTGTTCACAGTTGATATCATTCCAAGACATACCAGGGTCGCCTTTCAGCTCACCGCAGTATTCAACATTTTGGTAATTATTTGGCTCACCGTAAGCCCAATTTTCATAGGAGACCTATGGTAGAAACATTACACACAATGCCTTAACCACAACGCCACGGTGCTATGCTGTGTTAGAAATCTTAGGCTGCAGATATTAGCCATGTATCACACCAGTGCAAATCCAAATGGGGGAAAAAGAGAGAGGTGCTAGTTGGAGGGTTTTTTTTTTGTTTTTGTTTTTGTTTTTTTCATTAATTTGCTTTTTACGTTTAGCTTTGGAAGCACATTTTATAGACATGGGTGAGAAAGAAACAGCTTTTATTACATGGAAACTTTTAAAGCTGACTAGGGTAGGGCATTGATTCTTACAACATTTTCTGTATTCTCATTAAACAGAATGGATCCAAGGGCCACAGAAGTGAGACTTATATGTAGGAAAGAGTTAGTAAGAAACTTCTATTTCTCAGTCAGTAGTTGTAATTTCCTATATTTACAGCCTGTTCTTAAGGGATGATATTTCAGTAAGTCATTGGAAGCTTTCCCTCTATTACACAGGCTACAGAAAAGTAATTAAAGAAGAAAAGGGCTTATAAAATGTGGCTAACAGAATGACCAGCCTTTGCCAAAATGAACAATGGAAACAAACCGGGGTCCTGGTATAGGGCCTCTGGGGACGTTTTCAGTGATCAGTCAGAGGCTAAACAGTCCTGAATTAAGAATTATAATCAGTTTTCCATAAGTACCAACATGAAATCCAAACATTAATGCAGCCACCAAATAAACCATGTTACCTAAGTACCTTGGAAGGTTCCTGTGATTTCTAAGAGGAGGTGTCATTAATATTATAAAACACCCTTCCATGTGAAGACCAGAACTGATAAATGTTGCCAACAGAAGCCAGAACACCTCACTTTTCAAATTTGGAGAAATCTGACTGACTCTGGTGGTGGTTACCAAAGTTCTGTCCAGTTTCACTGAGCTAAAGGCAGCTGCAAAACAGCTTTGAAGACATTTTAACTATCTACATGCTGGTTTCATGCAGAATAGCAACATTTTATATAAACTGGGTGATAGGGCTTTTTCATCCTTTAGGTTATTTTTATCCACTTAGCAACAGCTACCCTTAAAGTGCATGGAGGCCAGTGCTGGGCAGGAAAGCAACATGACAGCTGTATTTATTTTGCATCGAAACAATGTCTCCAACTATGTTGATGACCTGCCTTGATAAAACACAAATTAAGTCAAATGACAATGCCAAGATAAATACATTACAAGGTAAGCAGATGACATATTTAAAACTACTTACAGGAACATAAAACCAGACACATTAAATCGGCTAGAAAAAAAGTGGGGAATACCCTAGAACTCATTGGTACAGGAGAAAACTTCCTGAACAGAACACCAGCAGCACAGGCTCTAAGAGCAACAATCAATAAATGGGACCTCATGAAATTGAAAAGCTTCAGTAAAGCAAAGGACACCGCCATCAAAACAAAGCAACTGCCTACAGATTGGGAAAGAATCTTCACCAACCCTTTATCTGACAGAGGACTCATATCCAGTATATATAAAGAACTAAAGAAGCTGAAAAGCAGCAAACCAAGTAATCCACTTAAAAAATGGGGAACAGGGCTAAAGAGAGAATTCTCTGTAGAGGAATATCGAATGGCAGAGAAGCACTTAAAGAAATGCTCAACCTCATTAGCCATTAGGGAAATGCAAATCAAAACAACCCTGAGATTTCTCCTTACACCCATCAGAATGGCCAAGATCAAAAACTCAAGTGACAACACATGCTGGAGAGGTTGTGGAGAAAGAGGAACCCTTCTCCACTGCTGGTGGGAATGTAAACTTGTACAACCACTCTGGAAATCCATCTGGTGCTTTCTCAGACAACTAGGAATAGCGCTTCCTCAAGATCCAGCCATACCACTCATAGGCATATACCCAAAAGAGGCTCAAGTACACAAAAAGGACATTTGCTCAACCATGTTTGTAGCAGCTTTATTTGTAATAGCCAGAAGCTGGAAACAGCCCAGATGCCCCTCAACTGAAGAATGGATGCAGAAACTGTGGTACATCTATACAATGGAGTATTACTCAGCAATGAAAAATAAGGAAATCATGAAATTTGCAGGTAAATGGTGGGACCTAGAAAGGATCATCCTGAGTGAGTTGTCCCAGAAGCAAAAAGACACACACGGTATATACTCACTCATATAAACATACAACATAGAATAAACCCACTAAAATCTGTACATCTAAACAAACTAAGCAAAAGAGAGGACCCTAACTAAAATGTTCAATCCCCATCCTGAAAGGCAAAAAGGATGGACATCAGAAGAAAAAGAAAACAGGAAACAACCTAGGAACCTGCTACAGAGGGCCTCTGAAAGCCAGAAGAAAACAGGAAACAACCTTGGAACCTGCCACAGAGAGCCTCTGAAAGCCTCTGCAGTATAGACTGTCAAAGCAGATGCTGAGCCTGATGGCCAACTGACAGGCAGAGTGAATGGAATTTTATGTAAGAAGTGGGAAGTAGTAAGAGCTGGAGAGGACAGGAACTCCACAAGGAGAGCAACAGAACAAGAAAATTTGAACACAGGGAACTTCCCAGAGACTCATACTCCAACCAAGGACTATCCATGGAGATAACCTAGAACCCTGACAATGCAGCCACTTCTGATGAGAACTGATAGACTAAGATCAGAAAGAAGGAGAGAAGGACCTCCCCTGTCAGTGGACTTGGGGAGGGGCATGCATGCAGAAAGGGGGGGGGAGGGTGGGACCAGGAGGGGAGGAGGGAGAGACTTATGGGGGGATACAAAATGAATAAAGTGTAATTAATAAAAGTTAAATAAAAAATTTTTAAAAAATTACTTACAGGAGAACCATCACTCCAGGTGAACCCTTCTGAAGGACTTCCGTAGGTCAGTCCCAACCAAAACAGCTCATGGTAGTTTCCACTTGCCCTGCAACATACAAAGAAGGTATATGCTACATCCTGAAAGGACTTTAATCAATCAAAGGACCGTCAAGAGTTGATAGGTACCTCTGAAGTACACATTAGATAATACACAAGTAAACACATTAACAACTAAATATAAGTTGATATAAGATGGCCAGCAAGTAAGATGACCCTGACGGTTAATATTGATTATACACTTGATGGGTTCCAGAATCATCTAGCAAGCAAGTCAGTGGACACACCTGTGAGGAACTGTCTGGAGTATGTAAGTCTCTGGGCATGCCTGGGAGGGGTTATACTGATAACAGTTAAGTTCCCTGGATTGGTGTGCTATATTGCACAATGAGATAGATAGCTGAACACACCATGTATTTTCTGTTCCCTGATGCCAATGCAACTTTTATATTGCTAATGCAATGTGACCAGCTGGCCTCCCATTTCTATCATCATGCTTTCCCTGCCTTGATACATATTAACAACCTTTCAAGCTACAAGCCACATTAAACTATGTCATCTTTAAGTCATATCACAGCCAGAGGAAAGTGACTAATACAATGTAAATTTGGGTACCACTCACCAATCCCCTGAAAATGGATCACTATTTGGGGGAGACAGGTTATAGCAAAGCACTGAAAGATATTGATTCATTCAAGTATGTATTGATGTCTTATACATTTATAGAGTGATCTGTACAATATATTGTATATAATTTATAAGTATTAAAGGATATTGAACTGAAAGTTGATCAAAAAGGACTTATAGATTTAGGATGTGATCTGGAAACATAAATTTTTTTCAACATTATATGTACCAACCAGGTAAGAGACAGCAGCACTACACAGAAGAGGGACTTACGTAATCAGCCTCCATATCACCTGCTGTTCATCTTTATTCTTGATACTCGCCAGTTCTCCACCCACAGCTCTGCAAAAATCTCGAGATTCAAACCATGTTTTCTTCTCATGTTTTCCTTTTGCATACAGCTAAAGAAAAATTTAGAAAATTATTTTACATTTGATAGCTTATCAAATCAAAATAAATAAATCATCTAATTACAATGAAATTTCATTTATTAAAAAAAAGCAAGCAATACAATTGGTCTCAAATAATGCAGTTCTTTTGGTTGAAAATCAATTTATGAGTGACTATTTAGATGGCTAAATATGGGAGGGGGGTGATTTCATTGAGAAAGCCTTACAAAATAAAAGCAGTTTAAAGCATGGACAAATTAGATTAAAATTCTGGAAGCTAGAGACATGTGGATTGGGTAGACAGCTCAATGTGAAGGGAAGGAGAGTAATTCGATTAAATGTAAAACATTGCATTGGGACATAAAAACATAATCAAGTTTTGATACAAAGAAAACAAACCCCAAAAAGCAAAATGCTGTTCCCTTTGGTATCCTGTTCATCTTAAACAATGAAGCGCCTGGCAAACTTTCAACAGTGTTGGTGGTGTCCTTCAAAAACTGTTGTCTCTTTTCTTTAAGCTTGCATATTTTAACTACGAGCAGAACACACACCACAGCAGAAAGGGGTTAAAGCACCAACTGTGTAACTAAGTACTCAGTGCTCTCATCCAGAGGACTGTAAAGAGAATCCATAGTGGTGATACAGGACATGCTCAGCGGTGCAGGAGCTAGCTATAGGTAAGGAGTAAGAGACAGGACCATGGTCAAAATGGATTCAGGTAAAATGGAATGTTAGGCTTTAATTCCAGCACCCAAGGCTGTAGAGGCAGGAGGATACCCATGAGCTGGAGGCCAGCCTGGTCTACAAAGAAAGTCCAGGACAGCCAAGGCTACCCAGAGAAATCCTGTCTATAAAAACAAACAAACAAAGGAATGTTAGGGAAGGGAAACAAAAGAAGTCTGCAGCTGACTGTGAGATACCAAGCTAAGCAGGTAAGAGTGGGAACAGGGCCCCTGAGCTAGTGACAGCAGGCACCCTAGTCTCCTGAAGCCTTTGAGAAACATGTGTAAGACACTAATGTCCTTTTATATATCTTAAGGCACCTGACTAGAACAGATAGAGACAGCTGCTAAGAAGGCCTACCTGATCCAGAAAGGAGAGCCTAGACCACTCCCCAGAGGTAACTAAAAACAATGCAGCTACTCTGTGGTAGCTGTTGAGGAACAGAGTTTGGACCAGTTGTTAGCACTTTGCCAGTATGGAGGACGCGTCACCAGCCAGTACCGAGCAGAAAGCCCAGGTTGATAACAAGCAAAGCAGAGTCAGGAGTGAACAGAGAGGCTCTACCCACCAACTGCTCCACTGCACGGGGCATGACCATCCCCTTGGTTGGGCCAGAAGAACATGCACAGAGAGTGAGGTTCGACTAATTGGTCAACTAATGAAATTACCTCATCTTTGTACAGCTTCTACCACAGAATTATCCTGAACGAAGAAGATCAACAGCTTTTCCTCTTGGGGAAGCCCTTGCACTCTTGGGAGCTACTCTCACATTGCCTAATATTTTTTTAAATTTCCCTCTAGAAACCATATTTCTGCTTTGCTTGCTCCCCAAAATATCTTTAACCCTTGTTGGCACTGAGGCAATGAAATCAGGAATAATTATTCTCACAGGTCTACTTCTGCTGAGTATCCGTGGGTTAAGGACACCTGGCCCAAGAAAGGTAACATTTCTCTTTTTTAAAAAACAAAAACAAACAAACAAAAACCCCTGCACCAGTACCATGATATAAACAGTACCAGAGCTCACTGGAGCTACTATTAAAAAAAAAATATATTCCTCCATTTTTCTTCTTGAGCCATGGCTCCCAACATCAGAGGGTTGCAGAAAAGGAAATCAGCTTCCTGTGGGCTGTGATTGCCTAGGTGGTTGACACCAACGCCTTGACACAGGCCTGACTTAAGCTCCATGAGTAAATGTGTCTTAAGCAAGCTTTCTCAACAGCAGCTCCCCCAAACCTACCTCAACTTCCTGCATCCTGATACTGGATTTGTTTTCCTTGACTCAGCTAAGCCCCCAATGTAATTAATTTCCACATCTTAGTATTTATAAGGATAGTCTATACATATGTATACAAACACTACTCCAAATACTTCTGAGCCACATAATTCATACTGATGTACATAACTGGGTCTGGTGAACATCTGGAATTTGTCGTTATAGAACTCCTAGTTCACAACATAGCTACACACAATTGTACTGTGATAAATCTCTACAACCTTTAACTAACTTCAGGCATCTGTATGGTGACAGGTCTGGCATTTGAATGATGATGTGAAATTTCCACAATCTATTTGATGAGTCCTTTTTGGTCTTGCCCCCAGATATTCCCTTTCATGAGAATTGTATGTTTAGCTCTTACTAATTAGCTTTTACTAATCAAACTAGGTTAAACCCCTCATGGATCTCCACTTGTACTAGTAGGAGTTCCAGCTTAACTAGACATTCCCTTCACAAGGTAGAGCCTAGACAACTTCGTTTTCTCACAAGATGTTTTTCTTCACTTAGCACAGGGATGAAACTCGGTGCCTCTCACATGCTAACCAAGGGCTCTCCCCCTGCGCTACATCCCTAGGCTCTGACTGAATTTGTCTCCTGAAATGTCTTCTGAAGCATGTCAGTGTCATGTTCCTTTGAAAGGGATTGAACAAAGGAAGTCATAAGCATATGACTTTGATAGTAAGCAGTAGATCTAAATTTCTCTGTGAAGGTTATAACAACATGGGGGAAAACCCCAAATCTTTATTTCATTGGGGGTGTGCTTTTGTTTGTTTGCTTGTTTGTTTCTGATTTGTTCCTATTTGTGTTTGACTGGTTGACTATTTTGCTGAACTTAACTGCTACAAGGAAAATATAGAGGGTTCACTCTAAGAGTATATAAACATAATAGCAGAATGTTGAATCCCCATTTAAAGGTGTTGAGGGGCTATGTACTTGCAATACTTTTATCATCCATCATTATAGCTATTAGGTGTTAAACTGGAGAAATGGAAACTGAATTCTGCAATATTGACACAGCATAATTGTAGACCAGTTTATCCGTTAAGCTAGCATTAAGCTCAGGCTTGAAGGCAAGGACAAAATGAAATGCCAGACATTGGAGTAAGAAGAGACACACATTTCCTCAAAATGAAGATTACAAGCTCAGTACAGTGTTAGAAAGCCATGGGAAATAGAGGGGGTAAGGGTTCTGAAAGTTCTACCTGTGCTGTTGTCTGTGTTTGTGGTTCTCCATTAACGATTCATTTATATCTATCCAAGGCACTCTCCGTCAATAAGATCAGATTAAAATTTCTACAGGTGTAACCTGAGCTGTGTGCTTTTTTAATGTTTGTTTGTTTTTAGTTCTTGGCTACTTCCGATTCTTTATTAGTTTGGAGAGTGATCCTTACCTTGAAACACATGCTGCTTTTACTGGTAGTGCCCCAGTCTTCCGGACATTTCGGTTCAGGAGTTGTTGTGGGCTCTGGGGGGCGAGTTACTCCTTCTGCCCAATGTTTGCACACAAATTTTGCCTTTTCTTCACATTTCAAAACATCCCATAAACCACCTGCCACCCCAGTTTTCATGGCAACACATCCTGCCTTTCGCCCTGCATTAAACACAAAGTAGAACTCAATCAGTGGGTTACTTACTGAAGACCCGCCGCGCTCAAGAAAAGCAGTCACAGAAGTGAGGCAGTGTGGCTCATTCCTGCATGTGATAGGGAAATGCCGCATGTGGAAGGTGGGTTGGCATGGTTTTGCCTTTCATTTGTGTGGTCTATGATCCCAACATGAGCATTATAAGTGTAGGCAGTTTTGATTAACATCTTTTATTTTCCACATCTGCCAGAGTGGCCCACATTTAGACACTTCATGGTAAAATATTTCTGCTACAATGGCAAAGATAACAGCATAATGGATTTTCCTTCCTGCCCTTCTGCTGGCCTTCCTCCCTTTCCTCCTTAATTCTTTGAGACCCCACCCCCCCATTGGTCTACTTCAGTCTCTAGGACCAAAGCACTTAATAGATTGGAGGATTTGGGTAAGTTTCTCAAGCTTTCTTGTTTCCTCGTCTTAAAATGTAAACAACAAGATCTGCTGTGTAGAGTTGTGATGAAGAAGTTCATCAAAATCAAACAATGATCACAGAATTAAAAGTTTGTAATTCTGTTTTGTGGTCACTGTAGTAATAAATCACAGAGAAGTTTGAAAACATCAGGACTCGTGCTGTTAAAAGGAGCTAATACTTTTATCAATAGTTTCCAAAGGATATTAAATGCTTAAAGTTTATTATTACAGTTCTAAGGAGACACATTTTTCTAGCATGTTTTCTCCATGTCCCCCAATTTCCTGAGACATTTTCAGATTCCTAGTTTCATCTTCTCTCCATTCATAGTCTTGCACTGAAAAGAACTACTCTGCAATGGATGACAGCTGAGGCTGCAGTGACCCACTGATTACAAGGTTCACTCATCTTTCTTTTTCCTTCCTTTCTTTTTTTTTTTCCAAGACAGGGTTTCTCTGTGTAGCTTTGGCTGTCCTGGACTTGCTTTGCACACCAAGCTGGCCTCAAACTCGCCGCGATCCACCCACCTCTGCCTCCCTGAGTGCTGGGATTATAGGGGTGCACCACTGTGCTCAGCTTACTCATCTTTCTTGATACTCAGGTCAGGCCCTGGATGTCTTGCCTGTCCTTGAAGCTATACATTTGGACACTCAGTCAACATTCCTTAAACAGAAAGACATCATCTTCCCATCAAGAAGATATGCTATAGTTGCGCTTGCTGGCAAGCACTGGGATGCCAGCATGTGGAAGGCTGAAGCATGAGCATCTTGAGTTTGAGACCAGCCTACATAGTGAACTCTAGAGGGAAAACTAACAGTCTAACCCTGGACTACAAAACAAGAGACTTTGTCTCCAAGACTCTCAGTGGTCATGGCTGAGTTATTGTTCTAGTTTAATGAATTTTTATCCTTACAGACATTCCAGGGTTCATCACTCAGAATCTTCCTGGTGAATAAGTAACAGAGAAGACAAAGTAAAGCTAAATTATAGGAGTGGTGACTTTCACCAAGATTGAAACAAACAAAAAAAGAATGCATTCACTCATACGATCCGGGATCTCACAAGTCCTATAATGTTTAATAATTTATTGATCATACAGCAGTTGCACAAACAATAATCTGAGTGGTGACATTGGTTCCTCACTCAAAGCTAAGAACGCAGATTCAAATAACGGCTAAAGAGTAGGATACACTGGGTCAGGCAGCACCCATTCACTTAAGTGGTTATTCCTTGTTTAGCTTGTGACTCTAGCGCAATGACTTGTTTTCTGTAAAGGCTGTTGAACTTTATGAGTGATGTCAAATCCAGTAGTATCATTCACCATTAACACCAATGTAGAAAGATTATAAAGGCACTTTCAGGGTCTATTGGGCCATTTACGGTCTCCTGTTAAAGAAGACAAGTCAAAATACCATGGCAGCTGGTTGGGTCAAAACCAGATACCTCAGACTTGCCTACTCCCCAAATTAGTGTAAATCCTAATCTGGGAATTTCTAATGTTCCAATGTCTGCATCTTTTAAATGAAGACATGTAAATATACCCTGGTCATTCTTAGAAGGATAAAATAAAACCAAAGCTATGTAAAGAGTTAATGATAAAGATACATGGAAGAAAGCAGGACAATGATTCCCATGGGCAGTTTCCTTGGCCGCACCATTCAGGCACATTAATATTTATATTTAGCCCCAGTGAAAAGTTTTACATCTACCTCCTATACAGCCTTACATTTTCAAAAGGTAGGTGAACCTTCGTAACATCTGTGAACACTTGGAATGTTTTATCTTTTCAAATGCACCACTACCAAATTACTTAACAACTTTCTCTCCCCTCTTGTCCCACAATACTGCAAGCTGGATGGAAGAGAGGGGCAAAAGAAATGTAGAGATGACTGAAACACAACTGGCTTCCATGCTGCATTGGAAAGGTGCGTAGAGTGACTGACAGGCCTGGCGACGGGAAGTGACGTGAGCACAGCACGTGCATACCTGGCATGTCGGCATTCCAATGTGTGAACTGCACCTGCTCTTCCACGGTCCATCGAAACGTTCCTTTGTTTTGAACATCTGAAAGTCCTGTCCAAAAATATTTTTCAGGCCTCAATCCAACCAAACTAGTCAGGAATGCTTGTTCATATCTTTAAAAAAATTAAATTCAACTAAACTTTAGAAACATTTATGTAAATTTCTTAAATGATCAACATGAAAAGTATTTCAATTGTATGTCTGAGTTATGATTTAGTCGATAATTCAAACATACTGCATTATTATTCTGTTGCTATTTCCTCTAGATTCCAAAATTCTCTAAGGGAGAAAGCATCTCATAGATCTAGGAAGCTAAGGAAACTTAGAAAGATCAGGAGGTTTATGAAACTTACAAGACTCATAGGGCTTCTCTCTGGGGTTACAGAAGCAATAGATAATTGCTAGGAGAAGAGTCTTCGATGAAGCTACCTATAGGTTCATCAAGGAGTGTCAGAGATGCAACCTCCATGAGTCACCACCAATGCTGCGGTAGGCTTTTCAGTAAAGGAGCTGCCACTGAATCACTCATGCCCATATATGTAACCATTTACTCATCCTCTTCCTGTAAGTAAACCCTATAAACTCACTTATTCACCAAGATGGGCCTGGGTGGAATCATTTCACTGATGATCTGAAGTGAGTAAGCATTTCATAACTTTCCAGAAAAAGTCACACAATAATCACAGTTTTATACCATTTAAATTATAATGCACTTAACTAAGGAAATGCAAGCTTTTGAAGAAAAAGTCTAGCTGAGTGAATCAATCCACTTGGAGAGATTCAAATCATTCTTTTCTGCTCCTTACATTGGTCTCTCTAGCTTCCACAAAATTTAAGAGAATTGTGAAACTACAAAGGAGAAAATTACAGCAGTTTAAAAAAAAATATTTGAAACAACCAGTCCACTTTTCACACAGGCCAAGTGTCCTCCTAAATTCTTGATTACAGAGATAAAGGGGCAGTAGTGTTATCAAGGGTAATTACAAATTGGGACCATCACGTTTCACTCCCCTTCACTTTGTTAGGCAAAGCAACAAAGATTTGCCTTAGCTAAAAAAAAAAAAAAAAAAAAAAAAAACTTGAAACAACACAGGCAACTTAGGCAGAAATATCTGTGAAAAGAGGCACTAAGTTTTCAGGAACATAGAGAGCCACAGAAAGAACCAAAAGGAATGTGAACACTACTTAAAAATGGCAGATGTTTTATTTAACTGTAGACCGAATAATTCCACAAAACACTATGAGGACAATTTACTTTTTAAAACATGAAAAGCAAATTTAACAACAGTCAGTAAGTTCATAAATAAAAAAAAGCACAAAGAACACATGAAGAATAATTCTTTTCTTGTACATGACTCTTTTAACCAACCAATCACAATGCAGGCCAAAAGGTATCCCCACGGGACTTAAATAATTCACCTTCTCTGCCTTGAGAGAAGACATTTCCGTGTTCTTGTGGTCAGATGTTTATATCAGCATCTCATTGCTGTGAGAGGGACGTAGAGGTCCTCTGATAGCTATTTTTATCATGGGATTTTTTAGTATCAGCAGGACTGTGGATTTTGAGTCTGCCTTGAAGTAATGAAACCACAGTCACTTAATTTTTTTTTGAAGTGTCTTGAGTGTGTAATCCAAGCTTTACAAAGAGTAAGTAAAAATAAATAAATAAATAGATAAAAATAAAAATAAGTAAATAAATCTCAAATATGGATGGGACCTCAGAGGTTAAAGTTTCATTTTTAAAAATCTTCTATAAGCTCTTGATTTTCTTGGCCTATTAGTCTATTAGCCAAACCAGGAAAAAAAAAATAACTAAATAAATAATTAGGTGACGAAAATAAAAAAATAGAAAAATGAATAGACTGTTTGTAGATACTGTGATATTTACTTGGGAGGTTAGGGTCACAGTTTAGGCCTCTAATAACTTGCCTTCTTAATAGTAGGTGAGAAGACCTGCCCTAAATGGCTATATGCCACACCTTAGAAGGAGGAAGGCTGCACAGAGAGGCACAGAAGAATCCTGGTAAGTGCTGTGTTTCCCTGCTCAGCATAGTAGCAAGCAGACTCAACACTCTAGTCTAACAGCTCACAAATGGTGTTCTGAAAGCTTCCACATGGATGAGCAGGTGGAGATTTCTGGAGGGTGGCAGGACAGTAGAGAAGATGGAATTTCCATGAATCTTCTTTTCTGCTTCACCCTGCGTGTCTCTTCATCTCTCTCTCTCTCTCTTTCTGTGTGTGTGTGTGTGTGTGTGTGTGTGTGTGTGTGTGTGTGTGTGT